TCTAGCAAGCCATAAACACATCAAGGGCAGAGTTATCATTAAACATGTCCTCCCTGTATGTCAGAGTTTCTTGTGTAAGTTTTTCACACAAACGATGCTCAGTCAATGTTTACTGAATAAGCAAATATATGGAAAATGAATTAATTGGGCCACTTTAAAAGGAAATAAACTGTTTTCTAAGATCAAAACATTTTAGACAGAGGGCATGTGGGACAATAAATTTTCAGTGAAAAGACATGCTATTCATGCACTGATACTAAAAAGAGTTCGTACTCTTATGGTAAAAAAAAATAGAGCCCCACGAAAATATTTGCATGTAAAAAAGTACTCAGTAAATTGTACCTCACTCCCACCAACTTCCTTTTCTGTCCTTCTGCTTGTCTAGTCTCTTTTGGATTACCTCTAGAAAATGGAAGGCTATGGATTCCCTAGGTCAGCTTTTTCTGGCTGCACTAGCAATTCTACCATCCTGACAGGCTAGGATGCTGGGATAACAAACTGCTGTTACATTCCACGGGAGAACAACAGACACAGTCCATCGGGGGCAGGGGTTTCTTGGGATAAATTTTTGCTTGGTGCGCAGCATGTGCTGATCAGTACCTTATTTTACACTGCATATACCCAGAGAGAGAAGACAAAGGTCATATTATTGTGTTGTGGTCTGGATTATTTGTGAGTTTTTTTGCAGCCAGTTAAAGTCAGAATGTAACAGGAATGTGGAATTAGCAATGCCATCAATTGAAAAAGTAATTATTCTTCAAAATTTCAACCACTCAACTTTAATTATTGAGTGTCACCTTCTGTGTGCCAGGCAATGTGCTACAAACACTGTGGTGGGGGTCATACCTCTCCTCAGGAGAGCCTGAAGAGCAGCAGAAGGTGCAGACATAAGGACGGACATAGAAAGAAAAATCTGTAATTATAAATGGGGTGTTAGGAAGTTAAAAAGGTGAGTGGAAAAGACAGAGGACAAATGGTAGGTCCTGAGTTAAACCTTATGGTTGAGAAAAGCCCCTCTCAAAAATGACATTTCAGTTCAGGCTGAAAGGACTAGAAGGATTTCATCATTCAAAAAGCAGAGGGGAAACTGCTTCACCCAAAGAGGACAGCATAAGGTACCCAAGGTAAAAAGGAACTTGACATGTGGGAGGGAACTGAAGAAGGTCGGAAGCTGGAGCAGGGCACTGGATAACTATGCATTGTAGATCATGGGGGTCTGATTTTTTATTTGAATACCCTGAGAAGCAAATGAGAGGATTTACTTGTGGAAACAAAATTATGAAATGTATATTTTTAAAAGATCACTCTGGCTAACATATGGAGAAGAGACTGGAAAGAGACATGAATGGAAAGTATAAATATTAGAGCGCATCCTCAAGTAAAGGATAGCAGTGGGTTTTAAGGGTGTCATTTCCCTATATGTTACATAAGCCTAGGTCCCTTGCATGTGTCACACAGTGATGACCTCAGAGAGCTCAACATTTCAGTGGAAAGAAGAATATGTACACAGCCAACTCAAGAGAGAGTATGATATGAAAAGGGCCAAAAGTGAATTACAGAGTGACTATATAGATCCCAGTTTTTCAGGAAGTCCTGATTTATGCTTATTGTTCCAAGGTAATTATTAATGGTGCCCCCTTTCATTCTCAGTAATGTCCTAGATTAGGTGATAAATTCTGGGGTCACCCAAGTTATAAACAAAGGATCTTGAGAGTTGTGAAGACAGTGCAATTACTTATAAGGAAAAAGATCATAAAAGCTTCAAGGAAGAAGTAGGTCTGAACTAGTCACTGGAAGACAAATATGACAAAGAAGAATATTCTAAACAAAGAAAACAGCCTAAGCACAGGCATAGGAATGTGGAGAGAAAACAGGGTTCATCCAAATAGCAGTTGTAGTTGCAGCTTGGTGTTTACAGAGAGCTGGAGAGGCAACTGGGAAGGTATGTTGCAGCAGGATTAGTCAGGACCTACAATGTCCTATACTGAGAGGCTTCATCTTACTTAGATGGCTGTGGATGTTCACTGAAAATTTTTAAACCAGAGTGTACAATAGCAATGAGCTAAACTGCTGCACTAATTTAGGGATGATAAATCTAAATGTTTTGTGAGAAGAACCAGTATGGTAAAAGGAACAAGGAAACAGGAAGCAAAGGCATTTTGTGACTCTGAGAGCAGATTTAAGTGATTTCCCATGTAATACTCGCTGGGTCAAGAAGCAAGCAAAAGATACTGAGAGAAAAAGAAGGAGAGAGTAAAACGAAAGCCAGAGAGCTGAAGGTAGGCTCAAGGAAAGAGATGAAAGGAGAAATATGGGCCTGCTCAGTTTGAAAGGGGGCAGAGAAGAGCAGGGGCACAATGACCATGAAAATGGTTTTTAAACTCCATGTTCTTTCCTTCCAATACTGTACTATGTCAATTTGTCTCCATAGTCTATCTGGAGAACCATGGGGCAGCCCTAATATACTCCCTACGTGTTCGCAATGATGGCAGCAGCAGCCCATCTGGAGCGACCACTGCCAAGATGCTGGCTGCAGCCAGGGCTATGTGCTCTGCAGAGTTGACTGGGGCCAGGAATAGGTGGGAGCTCCACCCTCTACTGAGTTGACAGAGTGGGAGATTGACACTCCTGGGCACACATGCAGTCACCTAGCTGTGGCTCCAGACCTGGGAATCCCTGAGCTCTCAGGGGCCCAGGAAGTATCCCTGCCTCAGCAGTCTTGGAAGTGTCTTCTCCTGCTGGCTGACCTCTCCCTGTACCTGGAGCCCACTCTGATTTCAGAGCAAAACTGAGGATAAGCCTCAGTGCTGTCATGACCTGGCCAGGCACGCACACACTCAGGTGGCACTGACACACCAGCTACCTGCCACCTCGGTGCCCCCTCCAGATTTTGGGTGCCCGTGAGCATAGGAGCGAGGCCAAGGTAGGACTAAAGGCAGCTCAGCATGGGCCTACAGGCATCCCTTGGCATGAATAGCCTGAGTGCTATAGATGGCATGAGGCAACAAATTCCAGGGCAGAAAGGGACAGATCCCCAATGAAATCTCACCTTCAAGCCAGAAACAGTCTGAAGTCTTCTGGCCAGGCTGCCAGTTCCAGGTGAAGTCTGCTGCCCAGAGTGAGGACTTCATTGATGACCATTCACTAGGCCTGCCCATGGACCAATCAATATGCACTTCCTCCCTTCTGGGCCCATTAAAAATCCCAGACTCAGCCAGACTCACACAGATGTCAGACTACTAGCTGCGGAAATGAGCTACCCACTGCGGGTCTCCTCTCCATTGAGAGCTGGACACTCATAGGGATGAACTGACTGTGAAATGGAGTTACCCACTTCAGGTTTCCCGGGAGCTGTTCTGTGGCTTAAATAAAGCTCCTCTCCCTCTTGCTCACACTCCAGTTTTCTGTTGTACTTCATTCTTCCTAGACCTGGGATGAGAACTCAAGACCTGCTGAATGGTGGCACTGATGAGCTGTTAACACAAACAGGTCTGAAACACACCCCTCCCCCTGCTCTCCACCTTGCAGTTAACGAGAAAGAGAGAACACCTGTGGCCCTTCGGGGAGCCCAGACCTAGGGGATCCCTGAGCCAGGGCTATGACACCCTCTTTGGAGCTCTGTGGTTCCTGCCATCAACAAACTTCTGAGTACCACCTCGTTCCCCTCATCCAGTCATGGATGCCCACAGTGAAAGATGCACATTATACATCTGGTCTAGCCACAGCTTCACATGGAGCTGACATCTATGCCAGTACCTGGAGCTGCCCACCCTGCTGCAACAGCTGGCATGCCTGGCTGTGCACAGTGGCCAGACCCTATGCTCACTCACTGATAAGGTTTGGCTGTGTCCCCACCCAAATCTCATCTTGAATTGTAACTCCCATAATTCCCACATGTCACAAGAAGAACTCAGTGAGAGGTAATTGAATCATAGGGGTCCTTCCCATGCTGTTCTTATGATAGTGAGTAAGTCTCATGAGATCTGATGGTTTTTAAATCAGGAGTTTTGGGCTGGGAGCAGTGGCTCATGCCTGTAATCCCATCACTTTGGGAGGCTGAGGCAGGCGGATCTCAAAGTCAGGAGTTCAAGACCAGCCTAGCCAACAGAGTGAAACCCCGTCTCTACTAAAAATACAAAAATTAGCCAGGCATAACGGCAGGTGCCTGTAGTCCCAGCTACTTGGGAGGCTGAGGCAAGAGAATTGCTTGAATCCAGGAGGTGGAGGTTGCAGTGAGCCGAGATTGTGCCACTGCACTCCAGCCTGTGCGACAGAGCGAGACTCTGTCTCTAAATAAATAAATAAATAAAAACAGGAGTTTCCTTGCACAAGCATTCTCTCTCTTTGCCTGCCACCATTCACGTTTATGTGACTTGCTCCTCATTGCCTTCCGCCATGATTGTGAGGCCTCCCCACCCATGTGGAACTTTAAGTCCATTAAACCTCTTTTTTGTAAATTGCCCAGTCTCAGGTATGTCTTTATTAGCAGCATGCAAATAGACTAATACACTCACTCACACACCCCTTGCCACTTTTCGCCTGGCTGGCCCTTGGCAGGTTTGGGATCTGGGCTGGTAGCATGAGTCAAGCACAGCCTGCCCAGCCAACTGGGCAGAACAAGCCCAGTGAGCACAAGCAATACTCAGGCAGAAGGTGCCCCTGCTACAGAGGTTTCCAGCTGGCAAAGTGACATCCCAAGGATCCCATGACACCAATATATTCCTCTTCAAAAACATCCATATAATCACAATCCCTAAAAACCTTTCCCTATCCTCCTTACTACCATGTTTATCTGGGAAATACAGATTCAGAATTAAGTAGAGAGAGGTAGGGGGCAGGTAATGATAAATTATGCAAGTGGGCTGCTCAAGTTTCAAAAAGTACCATTCAACCTTCCAGCAGTGCACCCCAGGCCCATTACCAACCAGCTTTGTATTTCAAAGCAACTACTTTTCTCATCATCCTCATTATTTCTTAAGGAAATCTGATAGTATTTTTTAAAATCAAAAGTCATTATTAATAATCTTTCTCATATGATGTATGATATGATAGTTTCATTTGCAACTGTTCAGTAGATCATTTTGCACTAATCTCCAGGGAAAGAGCATTTTTGGCCTCATAGCAGTATATAAAAAAAGAAATGCTACCTTCTGTTGACATACCTCAGGCAACTGTTAAATCCTAAGAATAGGTTCTGCTAAACAGAAATTCTTCCGAGAATTTTTATTCAGATTGGCTTTAGAAAGAAAAATATTTCTTTTTGAATTTGTGAAATCAAAACCATAAATTCAATTATAATATTTTTATTAAACTTAAGCTTTCCTGGTAATGAAGAAAATACAAAATGGCCTTTAGTCTCCACTGATATGGGCAATATTTTCAGATTTCTTTCACACCTGACCCCCCATACCAAATATCACAAATTTTTGTAATTTGAAGGGTTCAAAAAATGTATAAACCTTAAGAGCTCATCATCATTGTCAACAGAAGGGAATAAATTAGAACCTAAAAAAAATGAAAAATAAAAAACTCCGGTTAGTATCTTTATAAACAGCTATTATTTGAGGGAACCAGTGGGCCTAAGGAGAGAATACTAGAATACAATTATTCTATCAGGTCCATTCTAGTAAACAACTACAAAAAAGAAGCTATTTTGAAAACACATTTTTGTAATATAATATCTATATCATCTGGTAGAAACACTTCTTTCTTGCCAATACATTTTGGAATAGAACTCAATTAGTAAATGTACAGAACAAAAATATAATCCAATTATTGCTAAAATTAATTTCCACAAGATGTATTCTCACAATTTTAAGATTATTCTTGTTTTGTTAACAATATTGCAATTTTAATTGAAAATAAAATGTAAGTACAGTTCTATTTATTTTAAAATATGGCTCTTGCAGCACTTGTACTGGAGTCACCTAAGGAACTCCAGTTCCTTGTTGCCACACCCTGACTCCCACCCAAGGGACTATGCCACGGTGATTACCAGGGAATCTGCATTTTAACAAAAGATTCACAGTTGCTGTAATATAGAGGTCCAAAGATCACCCTTTGAGAAACATTCTGTATGTTTCCTACTCAGAAAATGTAGCTAATTGCTTCTCCATCTAATTTTAGCCAATCTCAGCCTCTCAGAACCATTACCAGCAATTAGTACCTGTCTAGGTTTGCACTACATGATTTCAAGATGTATGACACAAGCACTTCCTGAGTAAACCCAGGTGCAAGCAGTGATTACAGAATGACCTGCTACATCAGCGTCACTGCAGGCAGGTACACAGGAGAAGTGACAGCTTCTGCAGAGCTGTGATCAATGAATGCAGGTACAGTGTTCCAGAAGGCCACATGGCACAGCTCATCAGGCCTCTTTAGAGATATCAGGTGGGCCCACACAGGACTTGCCCACATTTGTGAGCTATTTTGGTTTCTGCTCCTGTGTGTGTCTTTGTGAGCACTAGTGTGAGGATGCACATCCCGAGGTATAAAAAGCCCCAGAGCCGGTGTAAGAACTTTGTTGTAACTGCCTTATATAAAATCAATACTTACATCAATAGGCAATGCTCCAGAGTTCATTTTAGAATACCAAGACAGGTTCTTTTAAACATCATTAGGACCCGGCAGCAGCTCAAATGCATTAAAGCAGTTGGGTTCCTGTGGCAAAGCAAGTCTAATGGGACTGAGAGTTAAGTATGGCAAAGGGTGTGTCATCGAGGTCCCCTCAGCCCAAGCCTCAGGGGCTCTCTAAGGGCAAAGAGCAATAGTAATCAAACAAACAGTATAATTCAGCATGGCTTTGTCCCAGATAGTATTCCCTGAAATATTCAAGGAAAAGCAAAAAAAAAAAAAAGCCACAATATTGTAACTATATTCATATTTAATTAAAAAGAGAGTTAACAACACTTCCAAGAGGGAGGTCATTCCTTGTTCAGCTAAGATTTCTGTGCAAAGCTATGGGCAATAAAACAATTCAACATATAAACATTTACAAAAGCTACCATTTCAGTAATGCTACTAATGCTTTAGCAAACAACTCTGAAGATGAGAAACATATCACAATCCTGCAGCTGGGGGCAGCCATAAGGCAATCAAGATCAACAACCATTGTCAAAGACCAATAAAACCCACCCTCTCTCTTTCTTCTTTTCTTGTTTACCTAGAGGTGCCAACTGCCTTCAACAGAGTTGTATTACAGGAAATGGTTTACAAGAAGCAAAGTTATGGCTGGGCCCGGTGGCTCATGCACGTAATCCCAGCACTTGAGGTGGCTGAGGTGGGCGGACCACGAGGTCAAGAGATAGAGACCATCCTGGCCAGCATGGTGAAACCCCATCTCTACTAAAAATACAAAAATTAGCCAGGTGTGGTGGCAAACACCTGTGGTCCTAGCTACTCTGGAGGCTAAGGTGGAAGAACCGCTTGAACCCAGGAGGTGGAGGTTGCAGTGAGCTGAGACCGTGCCACTGCACTCCGGCCTGGTGACAGAGGAAGACTCTGTCTAAAAAAAAAAAAAAAAAAAGCAGCAGCAGCAAAGTTATATGCAAGAACTTGAATATAATACAGTTAGCCCTCTGTATCCATGGATTCTGCCTCTGTGGAATCAACCAATGGCAGATCAAAAATGTGGTTAGGCCTACAATGGTCGCTTATATACTGAACATGCACAGGCTTTTTTTTCTTGTAAGTACTGCATAAACAATGCAACATAATAACTAATTACATAGCTTTTATATTTTGGTAGGTATTATAAATAAAGATGATTTAAAGTTTGTAAAAGATGTGTGTTGGTTACATGAAAATACTATAACATTTTACATAAGGAGCTTGTACATCCACAGCTTTTAGTATCCGTGGCTGGGATGGCGGGGTGGGGGAGGTCCTAGAAGAAATCTGCCTTGGATACTGAGAGAAAACCATAACCCAAAGTTCAAGAGATCAAATAACCATTTACTCCTGCATAGTAACTATATGAAGAAAGGGAGAAAGGAGAATAAAGTCCTGTGATAAACACAGAGAACACTACAAGATGTCAGCAGATTTAACTTAAGAACCGCACACAGTTGTATACATTTCGAGAACCACACAAAGACAAACCATGAGCAGGCAGCTGGGGTCGCCAAGCATTCCCCCAGGTTGGTTTCCAGAAAAATAAGTGTTTTGTGGTTTTTTTTTTTTTTTTTCTTTGAGACAGGGTCTCACTGCTCTGTTGCCTAGGCTGGAGTGCAGTGGAGTGATCATGGATCACTGCAGCCTTCACTTCCTGGGCCCTCGCAATCCTCCCACTTCAGCATCCCAAGACACTGGAACCACAGGCATGGATCACCACACCCGGCTAATTTTTTTACTTCTCTAGAGACAGGTCTCACCATGTTGCCCAGGCAGGTCTTGAATTTCCGTGCTCAGCCAATCCTCCTACCTTAGCCTCACAAAGTGTTTGGATTACAGGTGTGAACCACAGCACCTGGCCCAATAACTGTACATCTGACCCTTTGGGCAAGGTGTGACATTCAGCTCTGCCTATGTGTATATATAACTGAATCTTCAAATGAAACTTTGGCTTTTACAGTCTTAGAAAACAAATGACAAATTGCACACGAAGACGTCCAACAGTTCTCAAGTAACATTTACCACACAGAATTGCCTGTGCCTGCCTGTCTTAAAGCCCACCCACAATTTCATTTTCAATTAACAGCTCCTCGAAAGGCAGTAATGAAAGCAGTTGCTAAAGAGCATTCAGATGTCACCGAAAGACTGCAAACCCAAACTGTAAATAGCACATTGTGAGTCGCCTGTCACCACCATCAACTCCCACGGGAATCACGCAGCATGTGGCTATCACAACCATCTGCTCAGCTCCCCACCACCACCACTGCAAACCACACAGCCACCCATCTCCTCCCACTTCCCACTCATTACCTGTCATGTACAGACTTGTGTGGAGATGGGACTGCTGTGAACAGATTAGAACGCAGAACGCATAGAGGCTTATTTCATTTTCTGTAGCTGAGATCTGGCCACACGCAGATAACTTTACATCATCACAAGAGGGAAAAATGTAAAATTTAATAAGCACAAAAATGCAGTTTTAAATAAAGAAAGGGAGCTCTGTCCTACCCTCATCAACTACCAAAAGTGTACTGGCTAGACCTTATTAAAGGAAAGATGTGTTCCCTCCCTCTTCAATCACTGACATTGTAGGAATTTAAGGGAGCCAGAGTTGAGAATCACTCTTATCGCTTTATTTTTCTTAACTCCTCTAACTATATATGGGATTTAAATGGCCCTTAATAAAGTTCTGTATGCACACATACACAAATAAAATTTTCTTACTTTGGGAAACATAAAAGGTCACAGTTTTATGGAACAATTCCTATAGGCATCAGGATCACCCCAGCTAAATTACCGTCCATTCTTTTCATTGCAGTTCCTTTTCCCATTTGGCTTATTTTCTCTCTGCAGGTTTTATTTTATGAGGTGGTAGCTAATGCACTTTTGGTTAATTTCAGGTGTCAACTTGACTAGATTAAAGAATACCTAGAGAACTGGTAAAGCATTACCTTTGGGTGTGTCTCTTAGGGTGTTTCCAGAGGAGACTGGCATGTGAGTCTGAGTGAAATAAGTGGGGGAGGATCTGCCCTCCATGTGGGCAGGAACCATGCAATCAGCTGGGGATCCAGATAAAACAAAAACAGAGGAAAGGCCAAACGGTCTCTCTCTCTCCTGGAGCTGGGATATATTTTCCTGCCCTTGGTCATCAAAACTCTAGGCTCTCTAGGCTTTGGACTCAAGGACTACCTCAGTTTCAAGCCTTCAGAATTGGTCTGGGCCATACTGGGAATCCCAGGGTCTCCAGCCTGCGGAGGTCCTGTTATGGGACTTCTCAGCATCCATAATTATGTGAACAAATTCACCTAATAAATCCCCTTATCCATCTATTGGCACTGGCTCTCCAGAGAAGCCTACTACTTGTGCTATGCGCTTTTTATAGTCAATTTTTACTAAGTTTTCATTTAAAATTACAAATGTCATTTAGGATAAAATTATTACTAACCACAGCATTCCAAAAATGTATCTCACTAAAGTTAAGTGGTGTTTATGCTCACTATTCCCAACATTCAGGGCTCACAGTAACTAAGTATAGAGTCAGAAGACACAAAATGAAAAACTCCAAAATGCAAAAAATAAACCTGTTTCCAAATGCTCAAGATACAACAAAAACAAAAGCAAAACACCTTTCATATAACTCATTATTATATTAATGCCAGGATTACCAATCCCAGTTATAAACCAATACTTCCAATATAATACACAAATAATTCCTGAACAGAGACAAGCCTAGATTGAGGTTCCTCAATAACCTTATGTTAAAATTAATAGCATCTTATTCTTATTCAAGTCAATCAAGATTCCAAGAGAGATCATAAACCATTCTTTTATTCCCCTCATCTTTCCTTATGATTTTTCTTATTGCTCTACTTTAGGCAAGGGGGAAAAAGTAGTATGCAACTTAAGCTCATAAAAAGGAAAAAATATAAAGAATTTTATCTGATACCTTAACTTGTAATCTTCACATAACTATACAATTTTCTGAAAGCAAATAAAATCCCAACTAACAGGTTAAACTTGAAATTTTGAAGTATGAGGTAAAAATTGTTTAACTGACATTTCTTAATACTAGTTCAGTCCGGGCGCGGTGGTTCACACCTATAATCCCAGCACTTTGGGAGGCCGAGGTGGGTAGATCACGAGGTCAAGAGATTGAGACCATCCTGGTCCACATGGTGAAACCCCGTCTCTACTAAAAATACAGAAATTAGCTGGGCGTGGTGGTGCACGCCTGTAGTCCCAGCTACTCAGGAGGCTGAGGCAGAAGAATTGCTTGAACCCAGGAGGTGGAGGTTGCAGTGAGCCAAGATTGCACCATTGTACTCCAGCCTGGGTAATAAAAGCGAAACTCCATCTCAAAAAAAAATACTAGTTCAAAGTACCATCATACATCTAACCATTATAACAAAAGTATGTATAAAAGAGCACAAAGCAAAGTTCATGTATTTTCATTATGAAAGTAAAATCCCAAATTACATTAGTGTCTCAAATGCTCTGATTTCCAGAAACCTGTAGGCTCTAGAGTTAAGCTGGATAAATACCTGTGTGATTTCTGGCCTAGATTTCCATGCAAAACTAATTAGTAGGTCTTCAGAAATGAGACTTGAACTGGATCTGTTTAATCAAAATTTTCCATTATAAATCCTCCTTTGCAAGTTAATTTCTACTAGTAACAAATTTGACAGAAAGCTCCTCAGACATTAAGAGTAAGTCTAAGTCGTGCTGAAATCAGGGACCAGCCTCTGGTGGCAACCACTCTCAATAGTAAAGCGTATGGGCTGGGATAGACTGCTCCATCAGGACAGATGGAAACATCAGGTGGCTCAGTCCCCTGGGCCACAATCACTAAACCACCACAATCATTTACTCTAAGGAAGGCCAACGTGCAAGGTCAATACATGAAGCAGATGCAACCACCATGCAGAGTTCTAGTAATCACTCTAATTTTAAATATCTGGCACTGGGATGGACCTCCCTTCTCCCTAGAAAGCAGTAGACACTTTTGGTGTCCACAGTTTACAATGTCAAATATAAATCTCCTACTATACTAGATTTTCCAAGAGAGAAGAGCAAATTTTTATTCCTGACAAGAAATACCTACCCAGATTAACCTGTATAAAGATTTTTAAACCATATAAGTCATTCCCACATAAGCCATCATTCCTAGCAAGGTTAAAGTCTACCAGTAGGCTCCTGAAATATTCACAAATTCCTCCCGTTTCCTCTAAAATGATGTTCTCCTGTGACTAAAGCAATCTCAACAGGTGGTCTCTTTCTCCAGGAAATTCTGCCCTAAGATGATGACATTTTGGTACCTAAAATTCAGTTAAGGAGGGAGACCACATGATTTACTTTGATGATTCATCTTGGTGTCTGTTAGAACAGTTCATATAACCTAAAAATGCCTTTTAGCTCACTTAAGCCTATTTCCTCTGGCTCAGTTCATACTACAGAGAAAGGATAGACTAATGGACTAAATGGAGATTCAGAAATCCAGTCAGAGCCAAATCTGAGAGTTCTCTGAATGCTCATCAACTTTTCATCATTGCTACTCTATTTTTAAAGCCCTTTTGCTCTCTCTGTGTGTTTTAAACTACAAAGTCCTAAATTTTTAAAGCATTCCCTATGGTCTAGAAGTTAGATATACTGAAAGAAAACTAAACTCAATGCCCTAAGAAGGGCTAAGTTTTCC